TTGTTGCAGGTCATGTTCGCCAAGACCATATATCTGAAGCATGGGAAGTGTTTGAGACAATGGAGGATAAGGGAATCAAGCCGACTTGGAAATCTTATTCAATATTTATCAAGGAGCTTTGCAAAGTTTTGAGAACAGATGAAATTATCAAGGTTTTGGGGAAAATGCAGGCTTCCAAGATGTTTATTTGTGATGAAATATTTGAGTGGGTTATATCTTGTATGGAGAGAAAGGGAGAGATGGACAACATTAGAAAAGTAAAGCAGATGCATAGAATCTGCAGACTTCATTCGCTAAATGATGAAGTATCTAGAAATGATTTGTCCAGGGAAGAGAAGCTCCATGTTGACTCCAACTGTAATGAATCAGTGCAAGGAAGGGTGGATTGGAACTCGGTGAAGCCACTTTCAAAGGCTTACGATGAGCAGGACTTGCAAGAAGTTCTGAGGATATTATCATCCTTGGAGGATTGGCCCATCATTCAAGATGCCCTGGAGAAATGCACCATTCAGTTCACACCAGAACTTGTTGCCGAGACCTTACGTAATTGCGGTATTCATGGAAATGCTGCATTGCATTTCTTTGCGTGGGTAGGAAAGCAAAATGGTTTTCGCCAAACTACAGAAACGTACAACATGGCGATGAAAGTTTCAGGTCGTGGGAAAGATTTCAAGCACATGAGAAGCCTCTTTTATGAAATGAGGAGAAGGGGCTTCTTAATACCACCAGATACATGGGCAATCATGATAATGCAATATGGTCGAACAGGTCTAACAGAGATTGCTCTTAAGATATTTGGTGAGATGAAAGCTAGCGGTTGTAATCCAAATGACAGCACTTACAAGTACTTGATAATTTGTCTTTGTGGAAGAAAAGGAAGAAAGGTTGATGAAGCCATTAAAATATTCCGGGAGATGATTCGTGCTGGACATGTCCCTGACAAAGAGCTGGTTGAAACGTACCTCTGCTGTTTATGTGAAGTTGGCAAATTGTTGGAAGCCAGAAAATCCGTAGACTCTCTTTGTAAAGCTGGTTTTACAGTTCCTGCTAGTTACTCCTTGTACATTAGAGCGCTTTGTCGAGCTGTAATGTTAGAAGAAGTTTTATCATTAGGAGAACAGGTTAGCACCGAGAAAACAACGTTGGATCGGTATACTCATGCAAGCCTTGTTCATGGCCTATTACAGAAGGGACGACTAGAAGAGGCTTTAGCTAAGGTGTACTCTATGAAGCAGGTAGGCATTAATCCAACCGTCCATGTTTACACATCCTTGATAGTTCATTTCTTCAGGGAAAAGCAGGCATCAAAAGCGTTGGAAATTTTCGAAAGCATGAAACAGGAGGGTTGTGAGCCAACAATAGTTACATATTCGGCATTGATTCGCGGTTACATGGACACAGAAAATGTCATTGAAGCTTGGAACGTCTTCCGTTCTCTCAAAATGAAAGGGCCTGCGCCTGATTTTAAGACTTATTCAATGTTTATTAGCTGTCTATGCAGGGCAGGAAAATCTGAAGAAGCACTGCAGCTTCTGTCAGATATGGTGGATAATGGGATTGTTCCCAGCAATGTTAATTTTAGAACTGTTTTCTTTGGGCTAAACAGAGAAGGCAAGCAAAGTTTAGCTCAAACTGTATTGCAAAAGAAGTGGGCTTTAACCAGTAACCGTAAATTTTCTTAACATAGTAAATCTGATTCTCTCTTCTCTTGTGTTCATCGCAATGTTTTACATTTTCTTCATCTCTTCTTAATGAGAAAAACAAAGCGACTTGTCGTTTTCTCATGCTTCTAAACAATATGGCCCTCGGATAGAAGCAAAAACCGAAACGGTCGAGGTGATATGTGTCTATCAAAAAACCAACTTCTTGTTGTCACCCGTATGATAGTGACAAAGCAGCACCGTGCTACTCAGGTAGGTCTAGAATCTCCACCGAAAACAAACACGATGCACGAAACCTAACACCCCGCCCAAACTCTGTATACAAATACAAATCTAGATTGTACTGTACATGAACGAAGAAGGCATAGCAAGCAGTGACAACAGGGGACAGACAATGGGGTGGGTGTGGAAAGACGACGACGACGACGACTACTTTGAAAATAACCCTAATTATTATTCTTCTTCTTCTGGTGAGGTTTGTCCCACGAGGACTTTGGTGATCAGGTCGCAGTGCAAAAAGACCTAAGAGGTCCATCGTGACTGCCTCGGAAAGTAAGTTATTTTAGATTTTTGTTATTTATATTTTGGTTTCTGTTTGGTTTCCTAGAAAAAGAAATGGTGATGATTGATTTAACTTTTTAATGATTGATTGTGAAGATGGAGTGGCCATTTCCTCTGTTACACTTGGCTTAACAAGGTTGAAAAAATGAAAGAAACAGAGAATAAGAGACTGAGATTTTTGAAGAATGAATTCTTATTATTAGGATATACGTCAATTGCTTCCTCTTTTTATATCCGCCTGTCATGCATTACATGTTTACTAACAATTAACAACTAAATGATTCTAACTTACAATTAACAACTAACTGATTTTAACTAATTCCACCATGACATGCATTCTCTTACTGCTAACAAAATAATCTATTAACCGTTATTATTCCAGCTGTAACAATACCCTCTCCTTGAATGCTTTCTTATCCACAAGAATATTCAATTAAAATGCTTTAAAAATTGCTTGGGAATTTGGGAACGGCTTCTGTAGATCAGACAGATCCTTCCAAGTCGCATCTTCTGGATACAGTTAAGACCATTGAACCGAAACTGTTTTGGCTGCTCCATTACCTTTCTTCATCAACTTCCTGTCCATTATGGCTAAAGGCATGATTTGCATCCGCCCTTCTTATATGATATTGACAGCTTGGACGATACTATAGTTGCATCTCCAATCTTCTTTTTTAGTAAGGACACGTGAAATACAGGATAAATCAAGCTTCCCTTTGGAAGCTTTAACTCATAAGCTACTGTCCCAATCCTTTTACTGATTTGAAAAGAACCATAATACTTGGGGTTGAGCTTGAGGTTTTTTCTGACGGCTACACTGTTTTCTTATCAGCAATTTGCTTCATCCTGTTCCTTATTATTTCCAGCTACTTCTTCAGTGTGTGATTTATATTGGCCCTTTTATGTAGTATTGCTTCCACTGCAGCTACTGTAGTAAATTCCCTCTCTGTTCTTTTCTTATCAGTAATTTGCTTCATCCTATTCCTTGTTGTTTCCAGCTACTTCTTCAATGTGTGATCCATGTTGGCCCTTTTCTGTCGTACTGCTTCCACTGCAGCTACTGGAGTATGTTCTTGCGTTAACCATTCCCTTTATAGTGCTTGGAAAGGGCTCATGCCTAAGGTTGAATGATGGCTTGAATTATACCACCATTGTGCCAATGATAGCCATTGAAACCATTGTTTAGGCTGATGTATGGTTGTGCATCGAAGATAATTTTCTAAACATTGGTTCACCCTCTCGGTCTGCCTATCCGTTTGTGGATGTTAGACGGTGATCATCAACATCCTAACCCCTAACTTCTTGAAAAGTTCCTTCCAAAACACACTGGTGAAAATTTTATCCTGTCAGTAACAATCATAGCAGGTAATCCATGGAATTTATAGAAGTGATCTAAGAACAATTGTACAATGTCTTGTGCTGCGAATGGATGTGTGAGTGCGATGAAGTACCTATATTTAATGAACCTAGCCACCACTACCAGGATAGCATTCCTTCTTTTTGAACTTGGTAATCCCTTTATAAAATCCATGGTCACAGCCTTCCATGTACCTTCAAGCACTGGCAGTGGCTGTAATAGTCCAAGATATGTCATTCTTTCCACTTTAGCCTACCTATACCCATTACATTCTTCCATTATTTTTTTAACCATAACTTTCATCCCATACTAGTGGAAGTTTGTTTTCAGCCTTCTGTAGGTATTCTGAATGCCAGCATGTCCCCCAACATATGAATCATGAATAGATTTTACTAGTTAAGCTCTGAGATGCCCTCCCTATCTAACTACTATCCTGCCCTTGTATCGCAAGATTCCTTCTTTGTATGTAAAGTCAGGTTCCCCTGCTGCACCTGTTAGATTGTTGAGAATAATAGCTTGTAGCTTGCAGTCCTTTTCATAGGATGCATAAACATCTTCATACCATGCATGAAATATATTGGTGATAACTGCCAAGACTCCATTCTCCTTAGCAAATAGGTCACTACTGCCTTTTCTAGATAAGGCGTTAGCCACAATGTTCTCTCATCCTTTCCTGTACAACATCTTATACCCCAATCCCAGCAATTTTGTCAGGCCCTTCTTTTGAATTGGAGTATGAATTTTCTGATCCAACAAATATTTTAGGCTTTTGTAATCAGTTTGGATGATGAATTGTTCTTGTTCTAGGTAGTGCCTCCACTTCTCTACAGCCATAAGAATAGTCAGATACTCTTTTTCATAGATGAATAATCCCAAGTGCTTCAAACTTAAGGATTTGCTGAAATAGGCTACTAGTTTTCCCTCCTGGCTTTGCACAGCTCCCAAGCCACAATCACAAGCATTGGTTTCCAGCATAAATAGCTTGGAGAAGTCAGGTAATGTGAGGACTGGGGCCTCATGCAAGGTTTGTTTCAAAACTATGAACACCTGTTGAGCTTGTATACTCCAGCCATAACTGTTTTTTTTTAGCAGGTTAGTAAGGGGTTTGCTAATGATTCCAAAATGTCGAATGAATTTCCTGTAATAACCAGCCAACCTAAGGAACCCTCTCAATTCCTTCAAGGTTTGTGAAGTGGGTCAATTGGCTACAACCTCAATATTTTTCCTATCTGTGGGCACTCCTGTGATGGAAATCATATGCCCCAAGTATTCTACCTATTGTTCCCAAAGGCATACTTGGATTTCTTGACAAATAATTGGTTAGCTTGTAATGTTTCCAACACTTGCCTGAGGTGAGCAAGGTACAACTCAAAGGTCGAGCTGTAAATAAGGATGTCATCAAAGAAGACCATTACGAATTTTCACAAGAAGGGTTCCAGAATGTTATTCATCAATGCTTGGAAGGTGGTCGGGGCATTTGTGAGGCCAAAAGGCATGACTTTAAACTCGTAATGCCCATGGTGCATCATAAATGTTGTTTCTTCAATGTCCTCCCCATGTCTAACTTGGTGATATCCTAATCGCAGGTCTGGCTTGGAGAACAACTTAGAACCATGCAGCTCATCAAGGAGATCATCTATAAGAGGAATATGGAATTTGTTTCTGATGGTTTGCTCATTAAGCTATCGATAATCTATGCAGAATCGTCATGTGTTATCTTTTTTTTTTTACAAGCAAAACTGGAGAGGCAAACAGACTAACACTATACTGTATCACTCTATTGGTAAGCATTTCCTTAACAAAGTTTTTTATTTCACCCTTCTAGATGAATGAACTTTTGTATGGTCGAATGTTGACAGCCTGGAACTAGTTTTCAGTAAGATTTTATGATCAAACCTCATTGTCGATGATAAAGTTTGTGGCTCTTCAAAAAGTCCTGCAAATTTCTTTAACAAGGATTCAATTTCCACCACAGCCTTGGTTGGCTTTTCTTCCTTTTTCACATTCATAGCAAAAAACTGACCAATTACCTTTATAGTCACAGCTTTGAAGTTGCTCTGCTCCTTAATTACTGTTATCGTGTGTAAGTCAGAATTATGCATTATTCCCTTTAGCTCGATCATTCTATCATTTTTTTGGAATGACAACCACAGCTTGATGAAATCAAAAAGCACTGGAGAATACTGTTTCAGCCAATCCATACTAAGAACTATATCATGCCTGCCTAATTTCAATACCCTCAGGTTAGGCTTGAACTCGTAGCCCTATAGGGACCAAGTAAATCCAGGGCTCTACATCTCACATAACATAACGTTTCCATTAGCCACATTGATTAATAGTAACGTGGTTTTACTTTTGGCAACATTTAACTCTGTAATTGTCTTCATTAATGAAGCTGTGGGTACTCCCACTATCTATGAGAATTATAAGGTCCTTGTCTTGACAGTTTCCCTTAATCCTGATAGTATTGTAGGTATCATTTTCTGCCAATGCATTTAGTGATAATCCGAATTCATCTATCGAGCTCCTTTCTTTGCATTCATCTTGTATTGTGTCTTCTAGTTCCTTGATTTCCTCCTCCTCTTCTTCCTCTACTCCTTTAATCATATGTAAACCTTTAGTACTGCATCTATGCCCTGGAGTGTACTTGTCTCCACACTTGAAACACTATCCCAGCCTCTTTTTCTGCTTAAATTGGCTATCTGAGTGAGGTCTTGTCCCTTCCATCTGATTTGGATTAAAGAAAGTGGCTGGAGCATTATCAGCCATTCTTCCATTATTGAATATAATGCCACTGCGTTGCACTGGTCTAGACCTCCTAGTTAGTGCATTGTTAGACTCTTCCTACCACTTAGCTTGTTCAAATGTCATTAGCACATTTGCAGGTTTCAAGATTTTCAGTATTGATTTGATATCCTCCTTCAGCCCACTAATGAAGCTAGAAACGTAATAGGATTCTGCCATGGATGGATTCAAAGCACTCATTAATGATCTTAACTCCTCAAATCGCTCTATGTAATCATCCATACTCTTATCTTGGATCAGTTTGTTGAATTCTTCCACACTATCCTCTCTGTTGCCAAACCGTCTGCAAAGAATCTATGCAAATTCTTCCTAATCCATCCAAGATTCATTCTCCCTTACTAATCCTTCAAACCAAACATCTGTCTTGCCTTCTAAGTAATAGGAGACCACTTCTACCTACTGATGTGCAGGTATCGTGTTCAGCTTGAAATACTTTCTGTATTTTCACAACCAACCCCGAGGATTCTCTCATTTGAATGTTGGCATCTCCGCCCTTGGTAATGGTATGTTGTACCCCATCTTATGAAGTTTTTTCCTCATCATTTGTTCACCTCTGAACTAATTCCCGTGTTCTAGAGCGATTCTCTCGGCCGAAACTAGCATTCTTGTTTCTTTATCAGTGCCTAGGGCAATCAAAATGCCTCCTAAACTAGTTCTAATGTCTCTTCTCACTAGTTAAGAAGCAATGAATTGTTAGAACTGTATGGATATTGTTTCCATATATAGAATCAGCTAATCAATCTTGGTGCCTTGTTCCATCCAGCGTTCCTCACTCTCAGTCATAAATTCTTTTACCATTCTAGGTGATGGCTCTGTAGTTGAGTCTCCAACTTTTTGCAATTTTCGTTCACCGCCTTGAGTTTGTTGCCTTCTGTCATGCTCTGATACCAATTGTTAAGCTTGTCTTAACAAGATTGAAAAAAATAAAAGAAACAGAGAAAAAGAGACTGAGATTTTTGAAGAATGAATTCTTATTATTACTTTACGTGGGATATAAACCAACTGCTTCCCTGTTTTATACCTGCTTGTCATGTATTACATGTTTACTAACAATTAACAGCTAACTAATTCTAACTAACTCCACGTGCCATGCATTCTGTTACTGCTAACAGAATAATCCTGTAACCATTATTATTCCAGCTGCAACATCCTTATTTATGCTGTTATAGATGATGGAGAGGAATTTTTTTCCCCTCTTATTTTGAAAGAGTTTTGATTATAGATACTGAAAGTCTTGGATGTCATTAGCTTCAAATAAAATGCTTCAATTTTCAACCAATAGCTTCTTTTCCTATGGAATAAACAACGGTGGTGTTTAAGGAATAAATTTTGATAAATTGGTGGTGAAGAAGGATTAACTTAACGGTAGAGCATTAATGCTCAATTTTAGTTATGCAATGAGAGGAAAGGCCTTACCTTGAACTCACTCATTTCCGAGTATATCTGAATAACTATAAGACTTGAAAAATGGTTTTAGTTTTATAGAGGACGATAGAATTATTGTTCCTATATGAAAATGTGGATTTGCTTTTGTCCTAGTTTTTCTGTCATTAGAAATTGTTCAGAGTGTCTCCTCCAAGATGCATGAATTATATAAAATGCTCATACATCTGGGCAGCTATCCATCTAAGGATTCAGGTTAAGCGGTGGCTTTAGGTTCATGGATGCTTTATGGTATAAAACATGGGCGGTGAAGCATATGAAGCAGTCATTGAGGTAGTGAATAACTAATATACAATAGTAGCAAGGAAGGAGATAAATTTTGGAATAAACACTGTAACCCGAGCCTTGTTCCGATTTGACTCTCGAGTCGTGTTATAAAAGTATGATAACAACTATTTTTATTTATATATCGACCCTTTTTATTTGTGACTCAGGTCTTGTCCCGAGTTGACTCTCAAATCAAGTTTTAAAACTATAAAAATTACCATTTCTATCCTTACTTTGACCTTGTTCAATGGTCAGCCCAACCTGTAATTTGAGATTTGTCTTGGGTTGATCTCCCGAGTTAGATTTAAAAACTACAATAATAATTATTTTTATTATTACTTGTTTTGACTAGATAATTTTAGAATTAAGAGTTTTTTACAACGATATTTTAAAAATAAAAAATAACAAATATTATCTTGAAAACATGTCCTATATATACCTCATGTTATGGAAGTGCATAAATTCACTTAAAAAATATTATAAATATTATAGAGATAAATTTTTATATATATATTTATCTTTGTCTCTTCAACTAAATATATTTATATCTTTATTATTTTTATCTTTTCTATCTCACACATTATTCTAATGAAAAGATTTTGATCGAAAAGTTTTTCTAACAAATATATAATTTTTGAATTTTTTTAATAAATATTTAATAAAAACTTAATATGAGATATGTCTATTTATATCTTCTTTAAAATACTTATGTGTTATTTGGTATTTGTAACAAAAAGAAATAATTTTTGTGACAAAAATAATTTTTGAATTAAGAGCAAAATACTTATTCTAAACATGGAATTATAATAGATCATAAATTAAATTTAAATATATTTATAATTTGATTCTAAACACTGTTAATTCATGTATGGTCTTCATGCTTCGCGCTGGGAATATGGTTGTTATGTTTCTGTTCACACATGGGATTTATGAAAGTACGCAATCTTCTTTTCCCTTGATTTCATGTACATAAAAATGTATTGTTTAAAAATATATTAAAATTTTATTTTTTAATAATAATATATTAAATTATCTGAAAATATAAAAAAAAATGGTTATTTTTTAAATTATATTTTATTTAAAAATATATTGCTGATTTTTAAATTATATCATTTGATTGCAATGACTGTTTAGGAGATGCTAATTCCTAAGCATCGATTTATTGCTGAGCAATGGAGGACTATCACATCAAGTTAGGAGTAAAATCTGATCATAGATTTTGACCGGCATCTTCTGCGCATCTTTTTTTATTATAGATGCGTCAACCATAATTAATCTCATAATTTATTAAACATTCTGCAAATTCAGTAGATATATAAGATATTATAGGTATAACAAGCATGTATATAAAGACTCGAATCCAAGTATAATGGAAGGAGACAAATCCTTTTCATCGCTAGGCCAAGACCCTCAATACACATTTTTATTGAAATCAATTTAGTGGTTCGACTGAAAAAATAATGTTTTATCAGAGCTTTTTTGTATGTATTTTTTAAAAAAAATTAAAAAAAATAATGTTTTTTCAGAGCTTTTTTGTATGTATTTTTTTAAAAAAAATTAACTTTTATTTTTATTTTTTAAATTATTTTGATATACTAATATCAAAAATAATTTTAAAAATATATTATTTTAATAAAATATACTTTAAAATTAACAATTATTACAATATCAAATACAGCTGAAAGGAAACAAAGCAAAAATCTATTAGCTTCATTTATGATAATGTGGATAATAAATATTTGGAGTGCATATTGAGTCCAAGACCATTTCTACGTGAGTAGTGTTATATTTAATGATTTTTTTTATTTTATTTTATTGAACAGATTCAATGACAGTATTGGTAATTTAATTTAAATTTTTAATCATTTACTTTATGCTTCTATTCATTATTAATTAATAAAAATGTTTTTCGTTATTTATGTGCATCCTCCTAAGATTACCTTAAAAAATAGGTCAAAAGGTCAAAGCCTCCACATGAGAAAAACTAATGTGGATGCTGTAAGGTCATTGAATTGATTATTCTTCTCCTTTTTTTTTTAATATATAGTATTTAAGTATGTATTTAGAATTATAATACAGTTATGATTAAAAATATATTAAAATAATATTTTTTATTTTTTAAAAATTATTTTAATATTAATACATCAAATCAATCTAAAAATATAAAAAAATTTAATAAAAAAAAATTAAAATTGAAGAAAAGCGGTACATCTTTTATAAAAGTGTTGTGGAGTTTTTTTTTTTTCAAAATATTTTTTAAAAATATAAATTAAAATCATTTAAAAAAATATTTATCGAAGCTTGTTTTAAATCACCTCATCTTCCGCTCATTAATGATGGAGAGACTGACCGGTAAGTCAAGCAACAAGCCAAACTTACGCGGTAAGTAACATGAGGGGATGCATTGTTTGTCCTCTCATCTCATTTTCTATACCATAATCAAGTCGTCTATCATGACAGGTTTTGGACTCAGTAAAGATAAATTTTGTCAATATTAGATTTTCTTCGTTAAAGTGGTCAATTTATTTATCAAATAAGTAAAATATGTGGGATCAGCAGAGTACTACCATCACCAGCTGGCTGCCGGCCGGCGACAATCCCAGCCTCACTCAAATCCAGACTGTCCAGCTGCACAGGGCCCTTCTACAAAAACAAGAAGCACTTTCACCAGATTTTCCAAGAAGTTGAAAACCCTAGGACAAATTTCCAAAAATAAATAAAATAAAAGGAGAATTGAGAAACATATGAATCTCAACCATCAATTTCAGAATGGACCCACCATCTCAAAATTCAAACTGTACTGTAGACTACACTAATGCATTGAACGCGATATTTTATGCTCAGGACGCAAATTTTGAAAGTTTCCAACAGAATAAACGGTCTTTCCTTCCACCTCCCTTCCCTTTTCTGCGACACAATGGAAGGAAAAGACTCGAAACAACGTACGTACTGCATACTATTTAATCTCTGTCAGCTCAAACATCTTTCTCAAAGCTCGAGAAGACCTGGTAAAAACAATCTGTCAACACACGCACATATACTCTGTCTTGTTCTTCTATTTCTCCTTCTCTGGTCTCTCTCGTTTTTTTTTTAATGGTTTGCTTTCATGACCCTAATTATTTTATTCTTTTTTTACGCAATATTATTCAATCAATGGACGTGGAATCCTAGAATCTGTCCTCTATATGGATAATGCTATCCAGATTGCAGGATTCAGGGCATTTGTGAGGGAGGCTCTGATAGTTTTTTTGGGTTGACTCGTGTGTGAATACGAATGTCTGTTTTGGAGCACACAATTAATGATTGCCAGTTACAGAATTATGTGTTTGCATACATTAGAGTAAGAGAGAGTTGTGGAATCAAATGCCAAACTCTTCTGATCGGTGAAGGTTTTAATTTGATTGTGTTCCCTTCAAAATCACTTGGCCTTTTAGAGAACAAAGAAGTGGGATCTTATTATATGATAGAGAACTGAATATGGGAAATAATAATTGTATTGGGTCAAGGGTTTCCAGGGATGGTATCTTTCAAACAATCTCTTCTTCTGTTTGGTGGGCTCGATCGAAGGATTGCTTGATCACTTATAATAAGAAAGAAAATGTTGATGGGTTGTCCTTGAATAGAGTGCAAGAACCTCCTTTCCATGCTCAAAACAAGCCTCCGGAGCAAATGAAGATAGCCAAGGAAGAGGTAATTAATCAGGTACCATCGCCTCCAAAACCAAAGGAAAATGCAACAGTACCATCGGAGATTATCATGAAGGTTGAAGAGAGCAGGCCGGCAAAGCCAGGAAGTAACAAGGAAGTGAAAAAACCAGCAGAGCCCACGAGACCAGATAAGCCTCCTGTTAAGAGGACACCAAGTGCAGGGCTGCAGGTAGATTCAGTGTTGAAGACAAGAACCGGTCATTTGAAGGAGTACTACAACTTGGGGAGGAAGCTTGGCCGTGGTCAATTTGGGACAACTTTTCTTTGTGTGGAAAAAGCAACTGGAAAAGAGTATGCTTGCAAGTCGATTGCGAAAAGGAATTTATTGACAGCAGATGATGTGGAGGATGTAAGGAGGGAAATTCAGATCATGCATCACCTGGCAGGGCACCCTAATGTTATATCTATCAACGGGGCGTACGAGGATGCTGTGGCAGTTCATGTTGTGATGGAATTGTGTGCTGGTGGTGAGCTCTTTGATAGGATTATTAAGCGAGGACATTACACAGAAAGAAAGGCAGCTCAACTCACTAGGACTATAGTTGGTGTTATAGAAGCCTGCCATTCCTTAGGGGTCATGCATCGGGATCTCAAGCCTGAGAACTTTCTCTTTGTCAATGAGCGTGAGGATTCACCTCTCAAGGCAATAGACTTTGGATTATCAGTATTCTTCAAGCCAGGTATGTTTCCGACTTTCAGTAGCTTTCCTTCTTTTGAAATCATCTCACTTGCTCACTTTCCAGTAATAGAAAAATATTGAGCATTAATATTTTTGTCTATGAACAATAAATGAAGTCCATAATACAAGGAAATGCACTACTGAATATCCTTTGCTTCCAATTAGAATAAATATAACGGACTCCAGATCTTTGCGTATTAGGGAAGTAGCGTCCAACGAATCCTTTAACACATGATCCCTATGTTTCTCATGTACATAGAATTTTTGTTGGTAATGATATACAGCATCATTTAAGAGGATCTCATCTCTTCTTTTCCACTCATGAATGATATGCTATATATAGTTGAATATTGACAGTCCTAAATTGCAGGGGAGATTTTAAATGATGTGGTTGGAAGCCCATATTATGTTGCACCTGAAGTTCTGCGCAAGCGCTATGGTCCAGAAGCAGATGTTTGGAGTGCTGGAGTGATGGTTTATATCCTCTTATGTGGGGTACCTCCATTTTGGGCTGGTGAGAATTTTCTGATGTCCGTTACTTCTAAGGTATATTCATAATGTTCTCAGCAATTTGATTTCCTGTTCTTGTTCTTTCTTTGATTATAACATAGAAAAGGAACATGACATATTTGAGGAGGTCCTGCATGGTCATCTGGATTTCACATCAAATCCCTGGCCTAATGTCACTGCAAGTGCAAAAGATTTGATCAGGAGAATGCTTGTCAGGGACCCTAAGAAGCGACTCACTGCCCATGAAGTTCTTTGTAAGTTGTGATACATTTTCTCAATTAGTCTTATTTTCCTCAATCCAGCTTTTTATCACTGAAATATATATATATATATATATATATATATGAGATTGAGATTGCTGAACTCACAGGACTCATAGTTGGTCAAGACCCTTGTCGTTAGATGGCATGAGGTACACAATGAATGTTCCTTCATATTATCATAGAAACGATGAGTCTCTATAACTGAAAGTCGAGGGTTAGGATGCCAAATTGCTCGTAATTAGTTTTCTGATCGGAATATATCAATGATCTTGAACAAGTATGATTTATTTAGATTGAATAACCTGATTGAGTTAAACTCTCACCTGGTTCATCGCCAGTTTTCAGTTCCTGGCCTCATGTGATCAGATGTTTAAACTTGATATAACTAATCAATTTATTGTCTGTTATCATCTCAGCAGAAAGATTTTCTTCTGCATTCATTTGTTGCGACATTAAAGCTCTGCTGTATGTGCCAGTACCACTGCTGAACGTAAATTTTGGTTCCCTGCAGGTCACCCTTGGGTTCGTGATGATGGGGTGGCTCCAGACAAGCCTCTAGATCCTGCAGTATTAAGTCGCTTGAAGCAGTTTTCTGCAATGAACAAGATTAAGAAAATGGCTCTTAGAGTAAGTCTAACAATTATATCATCTCATATTTAATTCCACATTTTTTTTGTCCTCAAACCATTGAAGTTGTTTCCACTCACGGATTGTCTACTATTATTGTAAATGAAGAGTGCAAGTTCTTAAATCTATTGCCCGCAGATCATAGCCGAGAACCTATCTGAAGAAGAAATTGCTGGCTTAAAGGAGATATTTAAGATGATAGACACGGACAATAGTGGTCAAATTACTTTCGAAGAACTCAAAGTAGGACTGAGAAGATTTGGTGCAAATCTCACTGAGGATGAAATTTATTCTCTACTGCGAGCAGTAAGATCATCCAACTACTTCATACTGTCATTATGCTAGCTGCTGCTCTTGATCTTGACCACAATGTTTGTTTCAAAATTGCAGGCAGATGTTGATAACAGTGGCACAATAGATTACAAGGAGTTCATAGCTGCCACATTACATTTACACAAAGTTGAAAAGGAAGATAATCTATTTGCAGCCTTCTCGTATTTTGACAAGGATGACAGTGGCTATATCACCATAGATGAACTCCAACAAGCCTGTAATGAATTCGGCATGGATGATGTTCACTTAGAAGAAATGATTCGAGAAGTTGATCAAGATAATGTGAGCACTTCTTTATAATTAAGATGTTTCCATCAATTAAAGAAACTATTGCAAAAATATATGGAAACCTTCATTGATTATACTTTTGCTTTGTGTTTACAGGATGGTCGCATAGATTACAATGAATTTGTGGCCATGATGCAGAGAGGCAACACCGAATTGGTTAAGAACGGTTTACAGGGTAAGAATTTTAGCATTGTATTTAGGGAGGCACTATCAGTCTATTAACCTGATGATGAGCTTTTCTTCTGGAAACTAATAATGTTTTTTAACTCAAATGCATTAGTATTGCAAAATAGACCACATGTCCTGTATGATATGTGAAAGGAGATTTCCAATTAACTCAAATGTGTTCGACCAAATTTATGTAGTGTACGTGTATATCCTCTACTTTTCTATGATCATAGGAGCTCCTGCGGTGTTTAAGTTGACACTTATGGCGGAGAAAGTGAGCTTTAGAAGGTTGTGTTGTCCGTGTTACATAGCTTAAATAAGGTAGTGTTTGTTTTCTTATGAAAAAAATTGTGAAGGAGATGGTTGCCTGGAAAAAGACTTCCCTCGAGATTTAAGGATGTTTATAACTTTATATAGCCTTGAGCTCGCTCATGCGAGTATGTAGTCTAAATATATGTTGCCTATAATTTTCAACTACTCGAGAATAAAGACCTAGACTGACGAGTTGCCCTCATTCTAGGTTAGGTTTTGTGAGCATAATATAGATAATTTTTAGAGGACAACGTGATTAAGATATGTGTTTTTTATTTAATGCATGTATAATTTGTTCTTGTGATTGGTGATATGTATACCAAATCTAATTAAAGAGTAACGCACTTACGGATAGCAGATGGCTATGAGGTATATCCGTTTGATCTAAGATTAGACTTCCATGAGATCTCGGCATGTTCTCTATTCGGGGCATTGTCTTGATGGGTTTCTTGGACACCCCGAAGTTCAAATAAATGGTGGGTATGATAAATTTGTTGGGTGATTAAGGCTGCTAGAAGCCCAAATCAATAATTTATACTCTAAAAGAGTTTTGGGCCACTTGATATGTCTAGGCATAAATGAATATGAGCTCATTTAGGTGCTAGGATGTCGAGGGAACTTCATATTCTTGAGCATGTGTCTTTTAGGCTCTATCTTGAGCTCTATGATTAGAAACAAACTATTTGCACGATGATGTTTTTTTTTTTTTTCATGAATTTTCCTCCACGAAGTTGAGGGGCAGGTTTCAATATCAAGCTATGGGGATTATGAATGTATGGCATAAACGTATCGAGAAAATAAACCAAGACAATCATGTATACCTAAATGGGGCAAGCAAATAATGCGCAAGGCATCTCTAATCTTTAAGCTTGATAGAGGCAGCTCAACTTACATGCTGCCGAGGAATGTCATGGACCCAATCGACACTTTTACTTAGCCATCAATGGCACCAACCCCAACATTCCAGTTTTAAATGCAGGGACATGATAATAACAGCAATGCAAATCACTTGGAGATTTCATGAAATTTCTATTAAAAAAATTCCTGTGAATGTGATGTAATTTAACCGAAACATATCTTAGATCTGCTGTGCCAGAAATGAAGTCAAGATCGATTTGTTTTTGCATTTTAAAAACATTATCAAATTAATTTTTTTTATTTTTATATTATTTTGATATGCGTATGTCAAGAATGAATTTTGAAATATGAAAATTATATATTATTTTAATATATTTTAAAATAAAAAATAATAATTAAGCAATACAGCATAGAATTCGGGGATGCTTCAGAAGGAGACATTGTTAACTTTAAGAAGCGAAATCAACGGTCTTTCTTTTTCTTTTTGCCAGTGAGGAAACCAAGTGGTGCAAGGAATAATTCTTAATGCTTTTAGAGGAGAAGGTTAAATTAATTTAAAACTTGAACGAACCAATTGGGGGATGCTACCGAAGAACATCAATTTGCCAGCTGGGGAAGAAAGTCTATTTAAGTTTGATTGTGTCACATCCATGGTTACTAGAAAAATAAAAAGAATATCATAAAACATTATGCTCTGTTACAGCGTATCAAATCCATGGTTAATAATAATTATGCCACCATTCACTATCTTTCAGTTTTTCTTAATAAAACTATAATAATAATAATAATAATTCTAGGTGCAGTGTCATCAGAAAAGAACTCTGATGCTTCTTTATACTAATCTGCAATAGCTTGGCATTGATCGAGCATGTCCTCATTTGCAAAAGCTGCCATCGTCCCAAGAGTATAATTGCTACAGCAGCAAAACAAGAACAAACTCAAAGCTTACAAAAGAGGGTATGGATGAAAAGATTAAATTGAAATCCATTAAGAAGATCTAGTTAAAACAATTTGTTTGAAATCTTGGCGGCTCTCAGAAAGCCCTTTCTCAAACTTTCCTGTGTACACTCTTTTTCACTAAACATAAGAAATATGAAATGCCAGCTAAAATCACCAGAGGGAATAAACTAGATTTGAGGCACAGGCTTTATCGCGGACCGGTAAACCTAAACCAAAACTTCAAGAGTGGAAGTTTCTGTAGTTTTTTTCTCCTTCGTAAAACTGATATTATATGTGTATATATATATATATATATGGATAGTTATTAGAATTTATTTGACAACAAAAAATAAATATAATTTTCATCAAGTAAATACATTTAATTCATAAGATTTATTAAGAATTGAACTCGTGTTCTATAGGAAAATGCCGAAAGAGAGAGGAGACACTAATAGAAGGAGAGGCGGAAATGCCAAAAGAGAGAGGAGACACTAATAGGAGAGGCGAGTGTCTGGCCGGCAAGGTGTGACAGCCGGAGAAAAAATAAAAAAGCTGAAGATAAAGTAAGTGTTTAGCAATGCAGTGAAAACTGTGTTTTTTTTTTAATTTAAATTTATTTATTTATAATTGTTTTTTAATTGTTTTGAAAGGTTAATCTGCAGAGCGGAAGGCAGGCCAGCCTTGCTCAGGAATGCAACGTGCCACCCAGAAAATCCTGTAATCTACAAATCCCCAAGAAAATCAATGGGGCCCAAAACGTGGTAAATGATTGAACTCTTAAATCCAACGCCTCCGATCATCTATCTCATCCTCAACAGCGAAACTCTAATCTTCAACGCACGTTGTGACAGCTCGCTAGCGGTTGGTGTACGTGGTGTCTGTGGGGTCAACTTTTTATGTTCGTTGGGCTCCAACGTGACACCAATCATGTTGCTTGGTCAAGCCACGTCATCTATGGTGCCACACCCACTTGTGACCCTGTAAGAAGTGGGACCAACATCCAATGAGAGCTCTCTCACATCCCACGTTGTGTAACAGCTTCTTCTGTTGTCTTCAATCATTGTCTATTTGTCTTGCCCTGTACTTACTCTAATGCCCTTCCTCGCTAATTGTTCTATATTACCATAACGCCCCCGGCCTTTCCTTTCTTCGCCGCTGATTATTTACTGAGAGAATAAGTATTTGATTCTCCTCGGTTAGAGTAAAATCTCCCTTGATTGGTTTCAGACACGTGCTGATAATGTCTTGATGAGCATTGGGGGGTGATTGGCTGTTTGATACCATAAATAAATAAATAAATAAATATTTTTGGAGTGGCACCCAGCTAATTCAATTTGAAAAGAAGCTTTACTTATTTTATTTAATTGGGAAAAAGACAAGTAACGATTAATATAATTAAGGAAAGTATTTGGCATTAATGGCATTATATGGTGGTCGGCAGTGATGCTGGAGTTGTTTCAGGCAAGCTAGATTAATTTTTTGGTTGATTGACCACAAACGAGACACATGAGAATGTGTGCCCCATTCAGATCTTGGAGGAGAAAGAGTTGATTGATTACAGGAGAACCGACGACCCCCACCCATGATTGATAAATACTAGATTAATTTCTCTTGCCATGCCTAATCAATTTTTTATAATTTTAAAAAAATATTCAGGTGGTAATTTCCTTTTAAAAAAATATAAAAAATAATTGAAAACTCAGATTATTTACTTAATTGGATCCAATAAACACAATTAATTTAATAGTAGAAAAAACAATGGTAGATAAATAAATAAAAAAATAAAAAATGATTAACTATAAAAAATAAATAGTTAATATCATAATTAAAAGAAAAAAAAGAAATAAATATCAAAAACTTGTTGTCATTGAACATCACCCAACAACCAAAAAGAGATCACCAAGACGATTCTAATATAATTGTAAAAGGCTACATAATAATATTAAAAAAAATCGCATGCTGTGTCAGAGTAACGATCTAGCAAAGAAAATCAAACAAAATATCATAAATTAAGCATTTAATGCTTACATGTAATCTATTAATTTAATTTAACTCAAAATAATTTTTTTATAAAAAAATGAATTTAATAAAGAATGACAGATAAAAAGACTTGAGATGACTCGAATTATTTTTAAAATTAGTTAAAAATCATATAGGAAGCAAATTAAAAAAGTAATGAAGTTTAATTTCTAATTAAATAAATGCTAAATAATGAAACTAAAAGAATATTAGCTTAAACATAAAAAAGAAAAAAGGCAAACCTGGCGAATCTTCTAAACTTAGGTTAATCTTCCAAATTCTTAACCCATGAAATCCTAGACCCGAGTTCAATCAAAAAGCTTAATTCCTAACCAATTTAATATCGAGGGATGAATTAGAAAAAAAATTAATTTAAAAAAATCAAAATAGAAAAAAATATCAATAAAAAAAATGAAGATCAAATCTGAAAGGAAAAAAAATTAAAGAAATATAAAATAGTAAAAGTTTTAAAACTATCTAAAATAAAATAAATAGTTATCAAAAGAGTGAGGATCAAATCTGGCAGATGAAAAAATTAAAAGGTAAAATAAAAAAATCTAATTTTATAATTATTTCAAATAAAATATTTAATAAAAAAATGAACTAGATACAAAGAAAAAAGTAAATTAAAAGGTTACTTTGAAAATTTAGAAAATTAGGTGTGGAAATCAAGAAGAAGAGGAAGAAAAAAAAGAAAGAAACAAAGATCATCAACATAAGACTAGAGATTAGTAAGCAACATGTACCGTCTAAAAAGAGTCATTAAGATGATTTCAACAACATTAATGGCAACCATCTTTGATCGTTGTACTTGCTGCTTGAAAACAATAAAGTGATGGATATCTGAACACATACAATATACGCGCCAATTAATTTTTTTATTTATATTTATTAAGATATAAAATCACCCCTAAATTAGCTTGACTATAACTTAAAAAGCAAGATGAAAATTCAAAAAAATCTTAAACGTCAATTAAAGAATTTTTACTTTTAATGATGATTTAGTCACTTTACTTTGCTTTGAAAAATTAAAAGTTAAAAAAAATACTAGTTAAATAAGTTTTGTTTTTAAAAGTAATTTAGTAATTTTATTATATTTTAAAAAAAATATAAGAATAAAAATATCTCTTATCAATTAAAAAAATAAGTTTAGGTGTATATGAAATCTTAATCCTTTTTAGTTTTTTTTTTAATATGTGTGTGTATTGTGAAATATTATGTCTCCTTTATTTATAAGCCGGTAGAGAAAAATCTATTAGGTAAATGGAGTTTTAATCCTTATATATTTTTAATGTTCAATATTTATCCCTATAGCTTAAAAGTTTTTAATATTAACCCTATCATTTATAAGAAGTTTCATTTTGTATTCTTTACCATTAAATATATAATAAAACAACTTTTTTTCTTATTTTATTACTTTCCTCTCTTTTTTTCCAATAAAGTCCGCATATATGTTATAACATATTAAAAAATCAATTATCAATGAAGTGTTAACATAGTGGTTAAGGTATTGCTATATTTCTGCAAGGGTAAGAATATAAATTCGATCCCCCAAAAGCACGTTTATTGAAAGGGATAATTATAAATCCCGAACGAAACTAGTTTTACCTTTTAAAAGGGTGTGAGATACACGAGTAAGAATAAAAAAATATATTAAAAAATCAATTAAAATCTAAAAAGTACTCAAAACCAATTAAAAGGCAGGTTGTTTAATGGATAGATGTAATATTGTTTTTTTATATGTAAAAAAAAAGAAGAAGCAAAACTAGAAAGGTGCCATTGAGAATTTTTAAATCATAAGAGTAGAAGCGGAACATTATTGATGGATCTATAAGGTTAAAATTAAAATTTATCCAAAATTATAGCTTATGTTTGGGAATGAGTTAATGATTTTCAATTTTTGTATCTTTTAATTAGGTGTTTTTGTTAGATTTCAGGCCATTTTTGGTCGTCGTACCTACAACATAACATCATTAACTCGTCTAAGAGCTATTTCTAGCGATTGTAATTTTTTTATGGAGAGACAAAATAACATAGTAAGATGAGAATCTAATAAGGTTTTTAGATTTTAGCAAAGACCATCGGAGCAAAATGACCCTAGAAATACATTAAACAGAATAAAGAGAAAAAGGTTGGGAGGCAGAAGGTATAACAATTGTATTTTCTTTTCAACTATTTGGGAAGCTCCAGGTTTCTATTGGAATGATGTCATTAATAGACTTCGAACGACTCCAAGTATCCAATGTCAGGAACCCAGAAGTGGATTGTAGCCTACTTGTCTCACATCACGAAATCGAAGCAAAACTAGATATTAGGTTTTGCTGCAGGTAGAATAATCGCTTTTTTTTCAAAAAATAAAAAATAAAAATGAATCTATAGGTTTTTTAACATGTTTTTTATATAATATTTTAAAAAAAATATTAAGACAATGACTCATTGAACTGACCTAGATTTTACAGCTTTATCCATTTATCTGTAACTTGGATCATGAACTCAACCAACTTAAAATATTTTTTTGATACTTTTTTATTTAATCACATGGTAAAAAAAAATAGTTGATTGTGAAATGGAGTATTGGCTCAAAGTCGAGATGTTTGTTTGAGATTTTAATAACACTATAGAAAGTAAATTGAAACAAATTATAAAACCTAATTTATAACCAATCGAGGTTAACATACAAACTAGTGATCCATCAACGCAACGTCAGAATGTTTGTTTGAAACTTCAATAACTTTATTAAAAGCAAATTAAAATAAATTATAAAGTTTGATTCCTAATCGATCAAAGTTAACAAGTCAAACTCGTAACATGTCACCTACTTTACCTAGGTTTTGACGATTAGAGGTTGCCAAAAATCTAAGCCATAAGTATTTTTTATGCAATAACATTTTTAGAAAAATAAATATTTTCCTTACTTAATTTTATTTTTTTCATATTTTTATTTTCAAATTATATATTATAATGCTTTTCTAATTTTTTTTCCTACTTAAAAGGAATATTTTTTCTACTCTATTTTTTCTTTTCAGTATTGCAAGGGTTTTCTAGTTGTTTTCTCTATATAAATTGTTGTAATAACATTATAATAAGTAAAGACTTGTATAAATAAAAATAATATATTTTTGAGTATCTCCTTATAATTATGGTATTCTTAATCTTTGATAGTAGATAACAAACTTTGTTATCCTTCACTCTTATTTATGTCAATTGATGTCATAACCAAATGATCACATGTTATTGTTTATTGTGTGTCACAAAAGGATGTTCTTGATTGAGGATTATTTTTAGCTAAAAACTAAATTTAATGATGAGTTCCTTTCAAACCAAGAAGGATCATGCATGAGATTTTTTGGAAAAATAGATATTTTTCTATTCTTTATACCGATGCTTTTCTAGTTTTTTTTTGTTCTATTTTAAGGGGATTTTTTCATAGTTTATTTTTTTTCTATTCAATATTATTAGGGTTTTCTTGTTTTTTTAATATATAAAATATTGTAGTATTTTTCCGGCATGTAGAGACATAAATGAATAAAAATTAAATATTTTGGTTGGCTTCTCATACTTGTGGTGTTTTTTGGTTTTGAGAGTTTTGATATATAACAAACTTTTTTTTTATTCTTTCACTATTGTCTGCATCAATAACTAACGCAAGAGATTTTTTATAAAATAGATATTTTTATATTTTTTATATTGATATTTTTTTAGTTTTTTTTTCTATTTCAAGATAATATTTTTCCTAGTTTATTTTTCTCTATTCAATATTTTTAAGGTTTTCATGTTTTTTTCTATATAAAAGATTATAGTTTTCTTTTGGTAAGTGGAGACATAGATGAATAAAAATAAAATATTTTGGTTGGCTCCTCATGCTTATGATGTTTTTTGGTGTTTAAAGTTTTTGACATGTAACAAACCCCTTTGTCATTTGCTCTCGTTTGTGTCAATAATTAATGCAAGAACTTTTTTAGAAAAATATATGTTTTTTCTATTTTTTATATCAATGTTTTTCTTCTTGATCTTCTTTTTATTTTAAGGGGATATTTTTCCTAGTTTATTATTTTCTATTCAATATTATTAGGGTTTTATTGTTTTTTCTATATAAAAAGTTACAATAATCTTTTAGCAAGTGGAGACATAGATACATAAAAACTGAATATTTTGGTTAGTCTCTCATCTACATTAATTGGTATCAAAGTCTAACGATTCCTAGTGATTTTGTTAGGGGGTCGTTGAGAACGTGTATTAGAGATCAATGATTCTCAGTGGTTAGTTGTTGAATAACTTTAACTAGAAGAGATTGTAATACAATATGTACATATATAGGAAAGAATGAAGCGGTTCCTCTTATAAAAAAAATATCATATTGTTATTGAAAATCTTGGTGATAAAACCTATAATAGGGTAGTTTTGTATAAAGATGTTGTGTTAGGAATTAATAATATGACAACCTGTACTGAGGTATTGTATTAGAGACCTATGATAAGGTGGTTCATATAAAAATTTTAGAGACTAATGATGGAGTGATCCAAACACAAAAGATATTTATATAAGACGATTGCTAACTAATGTTTGAACTCGAGGATGAGTTCCTTTCAACCCGTGAAGAGTGATGCAAAAACTATTTTAGAAAAATAAATTTCTTAGTTAATTTTATTTTGTTTCTTATTATATATTATAATTCCTGTCTAGTTTTGTGTTTCTATTTAAAGGGAATAGCTTTTCTAATTTATTTTTTCTATTTACTATTATTAGAGTTTTCTGGTTTTTCTATATATAAAAGGTTGTAATAGATTTTGAATGTCTTCTTATAATTATGATATTCTTAGTTGTTAAGGGTTTTGATATATAACAAATCTCATTATCCTTCACTTTTATCTACGTTAGTTTTACACCTAAAAATCCATTTAACCATTGACATAAAAATACCTAAAAAACACCCTATAAATTTAAATAAACTTATTAACATAAAAATACCTAAAAAACACCCTATAAATTTAAATAAACTCATTAATACCTTTTAATAACCTAAAAAGTAGCCATAAAACAAAAAAAACAACCTAAAATTCAAAATATTCTTAAGGTTAGATTTACTTTTCAAGTGATTTGGAGGTGAAAAAACATCTTAAGGAAATTCTTTTAATCAAATGGAACATATTGACACTAAGATCAATTATTTTAGTGATTTAAATCATTGTCAATCAATAATTTTTTCTCTTTATTACTAGAATATTATAATTATCTCTCTCACACATTAAATTAGGAATAAAAAATAAAAAAATAAAGTTTTAAACTAAAAGTTATTTTTAAAAAATAACAGGATAAAAAGGGAGTATGTTGCAAACTGAGATAAGACAGCTTTTTAGTAGAATTTCAAAACAACAATCTAGTTTTTCTATATTTTTCATTTTAATCTCCTCTTTTAAATTTTTCTGTTCCCTGACAGTATAGAAGCAATTGTGGCCACGTACGCATACAATCAGTGAGAACAAAATTTTCATGACTAAAATAAAAAAAAAAAAATGATAGCCTATAGGGCTACGAGTGGGGCTATAGTATTAATAGGGTGGTTTGTGCTTAGTATACTACGTTAATCAGGATTGCCCTAATAGTTCTGGTTTTAACCTACGTACTTGTTATTATATTTTTAAACCCAAGTCACCTACTTTATTGGCTCATATTGAAAAATAAATTAGAAAAATTTATGATTGTGCAAGTTAAAAATCTTCCTTTTATTTTATTCGAAAATAAAATATATGTTTGAACCACCCTAGACATTTTTTTTCATTCGAATATTAACTAGAAATGTTTTTTTTTAAAAAACAAAAAAGGAAAAAGAGCAAAGAATTCCCTCCCACCATGAGGATTCAGAATCATAGGAGTTACAAGGTAACAGATAATTTTTTTTAAAATAAAATAATCTGGCAAGGAAGGAAGTGGCATGTTAGTAATTAGACATTCCAAAACAGTGCCTCATAAATCTATCTATTTCTATCCACTTCATTGGAATTCACATCCTACTTTAACTCTTCACAGCCAACCCACCCTCTCTCTCTCTCTCGTATTTCTCGAACAGAACCAGAACCAGAACCAGATAGAGTGGCAGTGTGTGTACGTGTCACGACAACCGGCTCTTACACGTCTATCTTTGCAGCTTTACAGTCAGAGTTTGTCACTTCTTTACCATTCTCACATACATTTCAGTCTTTTATCTCATTTGCTCTCTGGTCTCCCTCAAAAGTTCAAACTTCACTCCTATGCTAGTGTCTTAAGGTCTGCTTTTGTTTTCTAATTTTGCTTTTGCTTGGTATTTATGTTCTTGTAATGTTGCCTTTGGAATCTGGACAACTCTTCTTGATTTTTTTTTGGTAAGGTTTGTTTTTCTTTTTTCGGTTTAAATCTTGATTGGTGTTTTAGCGTCTAATCACATTGGATTTATTTTTTATTGGATTGATCTCTCGTTTTCAATATTTTCTGTCTGAAAGTTTGCGAGACTTTGCAGTGTTGTGTAGTTGCTGTGACATGGAGGAAAAACTAAGGTCTTGAAGCTTGCATTCTTTAGAAGCTACTGTAGTTAAACCTCCATCGTGTTCCTAGTTTCCATAAATGTAGCGGGTTTTCCTTTAAATGATATGTAGTTGTTGCGTGAAGTTTTGCAGTTTCAGATTTGATTTGTCCTTTGTTTAATTGCAGAGGAAGTGTAGGGAAGATAGAATTTGGTTTGTCTGAATTTTACATTTAAAAGGAGGTAACGTTTTCTTTAAATGTGAACTTCTAACTTTGGTAATTTTGAGTTTCAACATCGAAGGGCATATTTCAATTTCCTGAAACCAGCCTGGCTAAACCCTTTATTTGTTGTATTTTGATTTGGTAGGCTTTCATTTCATTTATTTATGTTAATCTGTACTCAATCTTGAAGTTTAAGTCCTTTTTCTTTGTTTTAGTGATCAATTATATGGGATCTGAATATTTTAATTTTATTTGATTTTATTTCTGGCCTTTCATTTTATTGGTGTAGCTTATTCAGTTGTATTGTGATTTCAGTTTTTGTATTCGTTCAATTTCTGTTCATTTTTGTTACGAAGAATAAGGTTTTCATTTTCAACAATCTATCTGGCTGTTAGCTCAGTAAGATCATTTTGCTTGGTCAAAATGCATATCATAGAGTGGCATGAAGTTCGGGTCTTCATATCTATTGTAATTTTGCAGTTCCTTGCAGTAAGATTCAGTGAAGGAATGGAGGGTGACAATGCAGTTAAAACGAATGAGGAAACCATTGCTGATAAAATTCATGCTGAAGCACCTGTTGTGGCACCAGAAAAGGAAGAAAAAAATGCTACCAATGGTGAAAGACCTCTAAAAGCCAATGAAACATCTAAGCATGTTGCCAAAACTGAAGGTCTTAATTCCTCTGGCATAGCAAGTGAAGGTGCAGCAAGTGTTTCTGAAAGAAAACTCTCAAATGCCTTAAAGGTGCTGTGCAATTTGTGAATATGAGATTCATAGTAGTAAATGAAAGACACATTTTCCTTCTTACCGTGTTGGTATGTCTTCACCTGATGTTTAGGAACCTGCTATGAGGAAAGGCACTGGTTCAAAGAACAGCAAATTGGCCAAGGATATGCCTAATGTGAAAGGCTCAGGTCCATTTTCTCATAGCCAGAGACCAATACTTTCTCAGAGTCTTTCATTTCCAGCAAAAGGTGTGCGTACTAATAATATGAGGAAGAGCATCGAGGGACACCCACTCAAAACTGCTGTCAAGCTTTCCCGGGATGAAGGAACAAAGGTGCAGGTTCCTTTTTCCAATGGATCAGTCACTTCAAGTCCCCGTTTCAACCGAGCCAACAGGCTTGCACCCACTGGAGCAAATTCAAAGGAATCAAATATTAATGGTAGTAAGACTTTAACTAAGCAGACTTCCTCCACAAGCAAGTCTAGCAGTCAACAGGCTGCGGTAAGATTTTCAGCTGATATATTTTGACCATTAACATTTATGTTGTAATTTTAGGTCTTTTGTTTTTGTAACTCTTTGTTGTTCATAACAGTCTGTGAAATCAAGTTCTTTGACTGAAGCTGCAAGGTGCCCTCCAACCCAGGTTTCTGAGTACGTCAACATCCATGCATTACATAAAATTTTGTTTCTCTTTTATCGGTTGAAGCCATCAAATGTATTCATGGAAGCTTCCCATGTCCCACCTCCACCTTCTGCCCTTGAAAAGGAGTAAACCTGTTTATATATTTGCTACGTGGATAAAAGTTCCTAATATAATATTTATCTAATTGCAGGTCTGCTGCTGATCAAAACTCAAAACCTGAGACAACCACATTGTCAAGCAAAGAAGAAGATGACACCCATTCTACAACTTCGTACTGCTCTTATAGAACACATTTTGATTTGTAATTATTTATGTATACTAGTATCTATTTTGCTAATGTGCCATTATGCTCTATTAATATCAGAAGTGCCACTCTTAGCGGGCGGAGAAGTAGCGGCTCTGGATTCTCCTTCAGATTGGAAGAACGTGCTGAGAAACGGAAGGAGGTTGTTGCTGGACTTTGGTTTCTTTGTTAGATTCTTTATATTTTTATTTTAATCCGTAACATGATTGTATTGTGGCCTTTGTTCACCAGTTCTTTTCAAAGCTTGAAGAGAAGATCCATGCTAAAGAAATAGAACAAACTAACTTGCAGGCAAAATCAAAGGTATTGGGATTTTTCTTTCACCTGAAACATTTTTCCTCTTGACCTTTATCATATATTTTTTTACAATTTGACTTTTCTTTCCCGAGTCTAAAGGATAATGAATCTTCATTTCATATTTTACTTTTTGGTGGATTACAGGAGAGCCAGGAAGCAGAGATCAAAAAACTGAGGAAGAGTTTGACATTTAAAGCTGCACCTATGCCATGTTTTTATAAAGAGCCTCCTCCAAAAGTGGAACTAAAGAAGGTAATGCTTGAACTGTCAGATATCCATTGATAACGTTGTGTTTTTTTTTCTGCCTTTTGTATTGCAGCATTTCATCAACTATAAGATTGAAAGCATACCAATTGAACTCTTTAAATGCCTAAAAATTATGACTAATTTTCAAATGCTCATTATGTTTTTACTAATATCATGTGCATTATGTGGACTAACCACTGCTTACACTCGGGTTTCCGATCCACTTGTTCTGTCAGTGTGTTTGTTTGTCTGGATCTGTTGAATTAAGTTTTCTAAATATGGCCTACAATTTCTATGAATCTTGGAAGTCCTTAAATGTAATTGGGCATGTTTAATGACAATGCATTTATTCAACAAATGATTTTTGCATTTTTTTAGGCTTTTGTTTGGCCTTTGCAAATTGCCGTTTATTAGGACAGTTAGTGATGTGTTAGCATAGGATCTGCTTTCACGAGTCTATTTTGCATGGTAAGGTGTTGACAATAGCTAGTGAGGCCATCTCTGAGTGCATGCTGGTTTTTTTTAAAAAAATGGGACACAACCTTTTTGCTCAACTCCTTAATCCTTTTCTTTTTTTGAATAACTCAGGCAATATTATGATAGCTCGTTAATCCAAATGTTATCAAGTAAGAGGAATATACTCATTAAAAAATTATGATATAGGTCCAGACTTAGATCTTAATTGACGGGTACATGCCCAAGTCTTAGAGAGGCTTGTAAAGACCCATTTGTCCCTGTCATTACTTCAAAACAGACCTAGTAGTTTCTGAAGGACTGAAGGTTGAAGATGGCATATGGTCATGGTCATCTGTTATGACTCAGAAGCCTTGTTTTCTGTTTTTTCAAAGAGGAAAGTTCACATTGTTTTGTTCTACATCTCATGAATCCTAACGGGAACTATCATAACGGCTTGGTTATTTCTGCTTCTGCTATATTGAATGTGAACATCAGGTCAGCCTCAAGTCCTCATCTCTCACTCAGTTTGATACTTGGAAGTAGAAACACTTATAGAAACACTTATTCTGATGCTGTTGGAGAAGTTTATGGATTCAGTCCAACATGAGTCCCAACAGTTTGTGGCTCAGCCCATATACTGTGAATGTATGTGCACAAACAAATATACTTGCTAGTTCAATTCTAAGCTCATGTAGCTCAATGCATTTTAATGCTCATTTTTTCCACCCCCTTCATTTCATGTTCCTTGCGCTCTCTTTTTTTTCCTCTTTCTACGCAACATTGAGATAAAGTTTTGTGTGCTCATTCTTATAGATACCGACTACTCGTGCAAAATCACCGAAGCTTGGAAGGCGCAAGAGCTCTACCACTTCAATGAACAATTCTTTCGAAGATGTTGGATCTTCTTTTAGCCCACGAGCTTCTCACAGCCCACTTCTGAACCAAGAATCAAGCAACCCAGCCAAAGGAGTTCAGAGAAACGGTAACGTGGATAATGGTGCTTCAAAAACACCAATTAGGAAGTCCCAGCCTAAGCTTCAGTCTCACCAAATAACAGCCAATGGAATGGAAGGAAAGACTGTCAAGTCCAAAGCGAAGCTACCAGGAGCAGAGAGTCAAACCCAGAAAGCTAATGTTGAAAAAGTGGAAGTAAACGAGAATAACTTAATGAAAGTTCCTGTATGCGAGAATGGAATTGAGACCATGCCCGAAAACAACACTCCTCAGAACAATGGATCGGTTTTGTCCTCGTCCAATCCTGAGATTATGCTCCCTCAAGTCACAGTTGGAGGGTGAGAACTTGATTGTTTCGTCTTGTGTCTGTAGGTTTTGTTCAAGTTCCATCATGTTGTGAATAGCCTGGTTGTATGTTAAGGGTATATGGCATTTTTTGGGGTACTTGTGAAATTAACATTAATCTACCAAATTGTGCATGATATAAGCTTGTATTCTTTTGTTAAATTTTATTGAAGTGTTTGGCAAAAAAAAAAAAGGAACTTCATAATTAGTCCTCTAATGCGAGGCTTAAATTGCCGGCCTTTTAATGCAACCAGTAACGATAAACATTTTCCAAAGAAGTAAGATAGGTGACGCAATTATGAAGCTGCAAGTTGTAGAAGGTGAAGTTTGATGTTGAAAACTGAAAGCACATAACAATGACAAAAAGAGGCTCGTGAAAAGGTGAGGCTTCTCTTGTTTGCTAAGCAAAATGTGATTGTTGTTGAGTAAAGATTCTACCTTTATTGAAATCTCACCGAACTTTACTTCTGTGATTTGGACATGGTGGCAAGGTGACTGTGCTATCATGCCAAACTGGAGAGCTCATTTCAACCATCTTTAATTTCCTACCCTCACAGAGCGCGACAGGTTTTAGTTGATGCTGTAAGAAGGAAAATCCTTACTGAAGGCCAAATTCTCCGGCAATTGAAGGCATGGGGTAGCCGGGACCAGCTTGGAGTGGCTGACAGTGATTGATTGCTTCCAAGCTCAGATCATAATGAAAAAAGAGTTGTTTTTATGTCCAAAATGCTACCATATAGGAGTGGATTTTCTCTTCACGTCTACATCTCGTATTCAAGCAATGTTTAATCCGGAAAATTAAAAAAAGAAATTATATATATTTTTAGATTATTTTAATATACTGTATCAAAAATAAATTTTAAAAAATAAAAAGATATTATTTAATATATTATAAAATAAAAAAACATTTTAAAATACAACAATTACTACATTACCGAATATACTAAACCTATAAGATTCCTCCATCTCAAAAAGAAGAAGAATGCCTCCGGAAATGAAATTATTATGCTAGCTACTTGCATGCTGGATCCAGCAATATGCTTTGGTGTCATGTACTCCGAGTCTGCATCCCCTATCCCATGCCCTGTTTTGGTTTTTGGCCTTTTCTTATGACAATCGGTAGGTTAATTAATTACTTTAAATTAATTAATCAAGTCAAAAGCATAGCTTTCATACCCAGAAAAAAATAAATGATATCGAAGTCAATGATTTCTCGGATTAACTCACTGAGTTATACCAGATTTGACAAGCAAGGCCAAAAGGAATCCCTCGTGTTAAGTGTAGCTTTAAAGCGATATTTTTCTTCCGGTAAATTATACAAGAGAGGTGCAGTCAATTAGTCTATTGGCCTGACTAATATTTCGCGGAGAAAAATAGAAATAAGTTTCAAGTTCAATTCACACGCGGTGGATCATAAAGAAGACAGCCCATTACATATATATATATATATATAGTAGTAGTTTTCCAAGTCTGTTCATACATTAAAAAATAATTAAAAAAATGATGTGTAATTACAGTATTGATGACAAAAACAACAACAACCTCTCTGATGGCTGGGATTCAAAGGAAAGTCCTACAGGCAAATCCTTCCCTTCCAATTGTGTTTGTATTCCACAGACATCTTCCTGCAATTAATTACCATTTCTCTATTGTGTTCTTGGTTCCAGCCATCTTACCTCTCTTCTTCTTTTTCGATTTTTACTGTGTATATTCACTGACATGTAGTGAAACGCGAGTCCTGTCCAAGAGTTCCAAGCATTATACAGGCTACTTCCATTAATTTCCCTGCAAGACAGAATCCACAATAAAAACAGTCAAGTCAACTCAACTCAACTCGTATTAATGTATCAACATCACAGGCATGCAAAGACTAATCATAAATTGAGCTGTTAAGATCTCAATTAAACGCCGTCTCAACTACGCCCTCCAGTTCAGGTCAGCTAATAAAAGAAATGCAGGAATATTATGGCGTGGAACTTAATTATTGACAAGCTGTTGTTGGCATCTTAGCTGTGGTGGGGTGGGGTATAGTAATGTGGCTCACAGCTAGGAAAAAAACTGCATTTCTTTTTTGCGTTTCAATTTTCACATGGATTCGTCGGTGGCCGGGGCCATAGAACCCTGCTTTTCATCCATCTCAACTTCTTTTAATCACCGACTCAAGGACATCAAAACTGTAAAAACCCATCTTCATACGAAACCTGCACTGTTTCATTAAGCTTTCCGCTATCCAGGCTGAAAACCAATGGAATGGCAATCCTCTAACAGGTCGACAGCAGTCATTCATCATCACAACTTAATGCGATTTGAGAGCATGAATCCCTCTCCTCACCAACCACAAATGTTGGGAAAGAGAGTGAACTTGACATCGACAATTTTAGGCACACTAGCTTTACCAGAATGCACTAAATCATCCAAGTCCTTTCAAAGCAATCTGGAATCATCTCTGCTTGACAGCCAAGCTATCCCCTATGGAAAAGAGTAATCAATAGCTATAAAGACCCCAATTAACAACTGCCTATTCCATGATTCCATCTGCCCCATCACCGACACCAATCATAACCACACATACCAGAACTCTTGGCAAGAGTTTAATCCCATCCCTAGCACAATTTCACCTAACTCGTCACTCATCAAACAAACCCCCCCCCCCCCCCCCCGGGGGGCGCCGTAGCCAACACAGCCTAACCCCAAAACTGGGTTCCTAATCCAACAAAAAAGGAAACTGTACTTGTATGGACCTATGATCTGAATTAGCACCAAACAGTAACTAGAGTTGACTTAACAAGAAAAAAATAATCTTATCAATCCATAACAAACAACAAATTAACCGAAAATAACAAAAGCATACCTCTTCTTGGCTTGGTAGTGGCAACCTTAACAGAGCTGACGGATTTCTTAACAGAAGTACTCTCTTTCTCAACTTCAGGAAACAAAACCCCATCAATCCCTTGAACTGAAATCCTCCCATCTGTATAGATATCCGGGTCAAACAAATAGGCCGACCCATCACCTGACCCGAACTTAACCGACCCGTCAGCTTCTTGCGCCACGACTTTATGTGGCAACCTCAATGTATCATACCCTATTTTCCCAAACCTCCTAACAGCATTATACATACTCTCTTCAGTTTGGTACTCGGGTATTATATGGTAGTAAATAATCTGCTCTGGTGCCCCTGGTTCACTCAGCTGGTCTGTTGTTAGCTTAGCCATGGCTTCATCATTTGGTGCCAAAACTGTAAGCACATAACCTTCAGATACCAACCTGCCCATTTCAGTGGCTAATGAAGTTAAGTTCACTAAAATATCAGCCATTTCATTGTAGCCACCGTAGAGTAGTAGTGTCTGTATAAAGTCTTTAACTTGGCTTTCTCCGTCGAAGTGGTGGTGAGGTCCACCGGGTCCTGGAGCTGGGGCGGGAGCCAATGATGGGCCAGGAGCCATGGCATCATAAATGGGCAAAACCGGCGGTGAACCGGCCCGAACTGGTGGTTCCGGTTTTTTCAATCTGTGGGTTCTTGGGTCAACTTCCGGGGCTCCTTCAGGCAATACAGCTGATATGGATCTCAAATTTCTTCTCCTGTTGAAGTCTTCCTGGACTGACTGTGGGACTAGAAGCCGCTCAATGCCATGAATAACACCGTCTGGTCGGGTCACGTCGTCGGGTCGGGTCAACTCGGCGGATCCGACAACCTTTTTGCCTGAATTCTTGGTGATCAAGTGTAGATGATCGTTGCAGAGAGTGGTGTGCCTGCTGGGGTATGATTTGTGACCTGGCCAGTCATTGGATCCGACTCGTTGGGGGATAATGTGGAACAATAAAAGGGTTTGGAGAGATTTGAGATTACCGGGTTCAAGCAAAAACCGTTTGAATTCGGGGTCCAGTTGACGCTCTAAAGCTTCATTTCTTGGAGCAAAGATGGTGATGTTGTGTTTGCCAACAGCTTCTTCAAGGGTTTGTAGAAGGAGAGCCTTTTCAACGAGCTCAGCTAACTCGGTGTAATGCGAGTCAAGAAGCGCAACAAGCACCGAGTTGGAGTTTATCATTTGACCAGTACCCGTATTATTGCCAGTTTTATTCTGATGGGGTAATGCAGAAATGGAGGAAACGGAAAGACAGAGAAGAGTAAAGAGAAAAAGGGTTTTCTTAGAGACACCATAGATGTGAGAATCCATGGTGCTCAAAGACAAAGATTGGAACTTAGAAGAGATCGATGAGAAAAAATTTGGGTCTCTTTGGGTTTTGGTTAAATGGGTGGTGTGCAGTGTGCCTTTGGTTAAATGGTTCGGGTGACCTTTTGAGGGAGGTGGAGGTGGAGGTGGTGGTGAAGGCGAGAGGGTTGGGTTTTGCTTTAGAGAAGAGAAAGGTGAGACCTTTGCGGAAGAAGACTTCACTTGGGAAGTAATGGACACTTATAAAAGTGGGGTGAAGACTTTTTTTCATGAGACAGGCACAGGCTGGATGTGGGGTTCACACAGAAGGCGACTGCTTTACATGGCGGTGCTTGGCAGTGGGGGGGGGGTATAACTGTACTTTTAATTTAAATTTATTTTACATTTAAATTATTTTTTAATTTATGTTCTTGGATTATATTAAAAATAAAACAATATTGTCTTAATATACTTTTAAAAATAACCACTTTAAAAAGTAATATTTCCCACACTAACTCTTTTTTTCCCTAGAATAATTAGTGTTATGGTATACAATATTTTATTAAAAATACATTTTATTTAAAAATAAATTAAAATTATTTTTAAATTTTTTTAATATCAGAAAATTCAAATTTAAAAGCAATTTCAAAACATACGAAACACAAGTTGAAAGGCAATCACAATCAGGCCAGCTCTGTATTCTGATTTTGACAATTCACCATTCTTTTTTTTTCTACTTTTGAGTTGCTTGGAGATGAATGGAAGGCATTCTTTTTGTGGGAGAAGAAAAACATACAAGCAAGTACATGTTTTTGGAAACCTAATTTCAATATCAGTTGCAATCATTTGTGGATGAACATTACTGTTCTGTAATGAGATTTTCCATCCAAATTTGGTAAAATATTAATTATGAAATCTGTATTGTTGCAACTTGACAGAAATAATTCTTCTTGATTACCCTTTTTTTCTACCAACTGGTGTTCTGGGCATGCATATAGTAAAAGAAAATACAAAAATAATATATAGTAAGTAACATGTGAGTGGGCGAGCCTCA